CATCCCACGAGCCAGTGGACAGTGCCCACTGGTGCCATGCTGGGAGACCTGAGAAGAAAAGGGAATGGATATAGGCTCCTCATTCACCAGGACTTTGTCACCAGACTTCCTCTTTCTGCTGCTGGGGATGGTGGGGGAAGTTGATCAGGAAGTGCCATGACTCAGTAGCACCTCACTTGGGGAAGGTATAAAAATACCCACCCCACAACAAAAGGTCTTAGAGGCACCAGCAGAGAGGCTGCAGCTTGGCACAGCTGGTCCATATGGATGGTTGAGTCCTCAGATGGTGCACAACAGTCAGGGCACCCTGTGAGACCTGATGTTAGCACAGGCTGCTCCTACGAGGATTCCCTGAACTACACACCTGGTGGGCTGTGCAATCAGTAAGAGTATGAGGTGACCTACTGGGATCCTTCATTCGTTTCCAATGTAAGAAGTCCCATAGCATGCATATTTAGGGAGGCGTATCGGCAAGATAAAAGAGCATCAGGAGTAAATATTTCCACAGCATGATTTGGGGGTTAGATCGCTCCTAAAACACTGCCTGACCAGGTGTGGTAAGGAGATGCAAGGTCCAAGAAGGAGCTCTGCAAGGGTAGGACTACTGGGACTGTCTGGGGACTACTGTTGCAGAATTCAGTAGACAGCAGGCAATAATGAGCTTCTTACCTTCTGGAGAAGGCAGCATAGGCAACCCCAAATGGAAGGTGAGCAATTGGGAGTCCATCAAAATCTGCAAGCTGTGGTCCAAGATGTCCCTAGTCCTGGTGATGCCAGCATCATCTAGCACACTGATGACAAAGGAGAAACCAGGGACCTGTTGAAAATGAGATTTCAATGTGTACCTCCAGAAGACACCACAGTTTGAATGCAGTGCTTTAGCCTGCTTAGCTAACCAATAGCTTCAATGCAGCCTTATTCCAGTTCTTACAGCTGCATAGATGGACACAGGGTAAGTTCTTCCTCCTGTTTTCTTAAAGACAGTTTCTGAACACCTAGACCAACAGTTTCAACAGTTGCTTCTGATTTTTGATACTTCCATTTTGGGTCTGTAATTTGGGTCACATTTCAATTTCTATATGAGCATGCTTAATCAGGACTTTGACAAGCAGGGCTGGCACATCTCAACTGTCTCACTCGAAAGTCCAGGTGTTTCAGAGAATTGGCTCTTGTGTATAATTAACTGGGTGTTATTTATCGAGCTGGCAGCAGAAGACAGTCTGTAGCAGAAAGCTCTGTGCCGTCCAGCAGGTCAAAGTTCCAGTGTTTTGGCTTCTCACTATTGCTGGATTGCCACTGTTTAAACAGCAAGTTTGGCCCTGGCCCAATATGTGCCATGAAGGAGCAGGGACGAGAATTAAACTTTCCAAACTCCAGTTTGTGAGTAATCTACGTACATCTCATTAGCTGCAACCTGGAAACTCTCAGTTGCTTTTATTTGTTGGCATGGTGAACACCAACATTTTATCATGACAGGAAAGTAAATGCAGCTCTGCTGGGCCCCACAAAATACATTACTATTCTTCATCCGTGGCTTTTGAGTCTTCTGTCACTGTTCCTTTGGCTGACAATGCCACATTACACATAGTATATTATTTTAGAAATGGTTGTCTACTAAACATAAAAGCCTTCCTGGTTTTGTCAGTTGAACTGAAGCAGACAGCTTTTATTGCTGCATAGGAGACTAATAATAACTAAAATAAATAAAAAGCCCCCCTCCTCAGTTGCTTCACAATCGATATGAGGCACAAGGATGGACCTTATTGAAAGGAGGAACCTTAATGCAGTGGAACAAAGGATGTTTGGTAATCATATCCCAATACAGAAAAATCTATGCCTTCCCAGAAATCCTAAATGCTGCTTTGCCACCTCTCTTTTAACCTGTGATTCGTCATTGTAGGGAGCTCCTTGTACTCTTAGATACCTAAGGTTTTGTTTTTTCTAAAACTCTGTGCTTCCTGATGAATGCTGGTGCTCAGGGCAAATACATGAAGTAAGAAGGAATCTTACACATCTTTCTCAGCCACGCACTGGAGTTAAAAATATGAAAAATCCACTATCTGAGTATCGAAGGGACCCAGTACTTACCTGGTTTAAGAAAAAAGTATATGTTCTTGGAATGCTCGTTTCACAAACAACATTCTCAAGGCTCTATCAACACTGAAAAAAATACAGTCTTGACTTTTTAACCTTACCCCACGAATCCAGTCCACATCCTTGTGCTTCTAGCCTCATTTCCCTCAGAGAATTAAATTTCTGTGATCATGCCATCTGGCTGTCTATCAGCCAGTATGTTCTGAACCTGCTTTCTATCAAACTGACAGAGGGATTGGGACTCATAGAGAATTAATGCCTATGAAATTCATGAAAATCAGCAATTGGGTCAAAGACAGATATCCAAATGGGTGCCCTGACTACAGGAAAGGTAGGCAGAACACAGCCATTTTACATGCTGCTTGCTAATATCAGTCATAATGTTTGCAGCTCTGGACTCACCAGAGCAGATGGTGCTTCTCGCTCAGTGAGATTGAGGGTTTATGGTTGGTGTAGTGAGCAGTACAGGTAAGGGAAAGAGAGAAAGGTGCAACAAGACACACCTGTAGGAAAGCAGGTCTCAGGTGCACAAAACAGTGTGTTTAGTGATAAACTTCCACTTACATGCTGCTTCTGTGCTTCCTGAGGGCCCTGCAAAGATGTGAATCTATTTCTCATGGAGAAGCCTCACAGGCAATCATTGCCTTTTCACTTCCACACCTGAACCTGTCCAACTGAGGTCCCATTGCTTCCACTGCTCAGGGCCGGAGAGAAACTAGAGCAGCTTCCAGGGCTCTGGAGATAACAGGCTTGCTCTTTGAGACCATTTAAAGGATATTAAATGTTAGAATGGAAAGTACATACCAGTTCAAAGTTTCCCTAAAGAAAAAATCCCTACCAGGGAAAGTTTAGAAGCAAAATGATTTCTCCTTCCCCAGCAAAGGGAGTTTCAGTTTTTGTTTTTCATATCTTGCTTCTCTTGCTTCACATACTGTGCTATGGAACAGCAGCTGAGCTTGCAAATACTTTGGAGGAAAAGGGCTGTTTTGCTTGAAGCTATGCCTGTCCTAGAGGGTAAAAGTGTGTGTTTTTCAAAGTCCTAACTCCAGTATTTTAATCCTGTATTGTAATTAACCAAGGAATAATATTGTTTAACATCACCTTGGCAAGCTTGTGTGGCATGTGCATTTCCCAGATCAGACTGAAGCCTGAAGTGTTATGCTTTCCTTCAGTGCACTTCTGTGTGGGCAAACTTGTGACCTCAGCCTTAGGCGTGCCACAGACCCTCCAGACTACATCTGGCCAGGCCATTTTCAGAAAGATTGCTGTGGGCTGACCCACAGCAGAGGCAGGAGCTTTCTGTGGTTAGCTCACTGGGGGGTTCCCCACAGTGAAAAAGGAGGTAGATAAAGTTTTTGCCTCTTGACTGGTTTATGAAGGGTAAATATATAGCTCAGCAGGACTTGCAGAAAGAGGCACTTGGGTGAAAGCTGAGTGCCCTTCTTGGAGGTGGGCTTGATGTGTGACTGACTCATGGGGGCAGGAGAGCCATCATTTTAGTGAAGAACAGATGTGAAATATATTAACTGGAGCCCTCTTCTCTCCAAGATTTCCTTCAGCCCCCCCCCCCCCCCCCCTTCTGTCTTCTCAAGGACTCTATTATTTTACACAGGAGAAAGAAGTGAGAGTTCAGGATTTTCTCTCCCTCTCAAGAGATCCACTGGGATTATACTGTATTTGTACCTTCTAAGTAATGGATTGAGGTCCTTGAAAACAGAAAACACAAAGAGTGAAAGAAAGCTTAAGCTTGTTACATTTACAGTGCAGGTCAATGAAGACAGAAGCAAAAAGCTTTAAAAATAACGAGGCTATTTCAACAGCGAAGTCCCTGGTGAAATTGCTCTCCAACTTCCCTCACAGAACAGATTGGGCTTTCTGAAAGTGTTACCTACCCACAGTGCTTACCCATCTGAGCTGGACTTTTGAATGCCGATTACTTGTCAAACTGACTTCTCCTCACAATGCTTTCTAGAGGTTATTGGGTTTCAGGGTGCCCAGCTTGATATGGCTTTCAGGAACTTGGTTTTCAAAAGGGGCTGACCATATAGTCTTTACTCATCAAAACTCCAAAACCCCCCTCCTAACTGGCTTCTCCCTATTGTGATCTCAGTAGCCTAAGGACAGGAGCCACAACTGTTTTCCAAAAATAACATGTCAGCAACTTTCAGAGTTTCATGATTTGTAAATGGTTCTGTGATCAACCTCAGACTTCCTCAAAAATTCTCCAGGGGAAAACAGCTTTTACAGATCACAAGAAAAGGACATTTTTTGTTTGGTTGGGTTTTTTCGGATATGTTGAGGGGATATCCAAATGATTCCTCTTCTGGGAGCTGCCTTGATTTTTATTTTTATTTTCATGTGGAAATTTTCCAGCATATAATTTGGTAGAATTACATCACCAGCTGCTCCTGATTATCTTGAAAATAACACTAAGGAGAGATACTACTTCCACATCATGACTACAGGGGAAGTTACATGTATAGCACTACAGTGTGCATTGCTCAGCCTTGCTGTAAATTCCTCCATAGCCCTCAGACCCAAGTCACAGTGTCTTCGTGGTGTTACAGCCTGATGGCTTAACTGTGGTTTCAGAAATGTCACTTCATATGGCCAGCCTTTGCACAGATACTAGTCTGTTAGATCTGCAGAGAGAAGGTTGAGAGGGGATTTTGGGGGGCTGACAAACCCTTTCCCCTGCTGCTTTGCCACCTGAGAGATTATTTCAGTACTGATTTCTATTCAGCCCTTCATGCTGATCCACAGTGCCCCGTAATCAACCTTATTTCAGTTCAGAGCAACACAAAGGGAGAAAAAAAAAAAGAAAAAAAAAAAAGAAGAAAGAAAAAAGAAAAGAAGGAGGTGACGTGCTACCAGTGCAAGCAGTTACAGAAATGGGAATGACCTAACAGATTTAATGGGAGGAGCACTGGCTCCTACACGTAGGGATTTTTCCTGTGACGAAGAACTTTGGGATAAGCCATGTGGGGGATTTCCCTCTCTACCTCCAGAAATACCACTCTAGAAGCTGTAGCACTTTCACTTTGCTTTCACAGTCCACCGGGTGCAGAGGCACGTTGTTGCTGCTTTCTGTTTTGAAGCAGTAAAAGCCATGTCTTTGGTATTCTACACTCTACCCATCATTCTGAGCAATGGTAAGTGAGAAGCCCTGCATTTTTGTTTCTGATCTTTCACATTTGTTTTGTGGGGATATGTTTTGGGAAGACAGGAAGGATTACCTAAGCAATCTGTTTTAAAAACAATGTGTACCTGTGCTTTGCAGTTTGGTGCTTAATCTGTGGGGCTTCTGTGCCTGTCTCAGACATTGCTGTGAGATGTGCTGAAGAAGCGCTGCTGCCCTGTGAAGCTCTTCGGGACACCTCAATCACCTACCAGAGAGTGGCTTGGTATAAAGTAAGAAAAAAACATATTAGCATAAGAGCAGTCTGCTTTGCTTTCCTACCTGATGCTGGCATGTCTCATATTAAATGTGTTATTTTATGAAGAGGCATCCTCCTGCCAGTACAGCAGAGATAAGGCAGCAACCAAAGCATTTGAGCTGATCTTGGAGAACATGCATTTTCCGTGTAATTGTAGATAGACTATTCAAGTGTGACCTTTCAATTGCTGTTGGCCTGTTGTGCTAACTATTGCTGGCTTCCAGGGATCAGAATTCAGGTGATGTCCCACACACAGCCTGTCAAATACCATTCCAAAGAGGAGTCTTGCCAACATTTTTCTTCAGAACAAAAATTGGTACTTAAACCCTTGCAACATCAATGATGTTGTTCCATGGTTAATCTCCGCTGAAAACAGGAGCTGATTTTTAATTTGAAATAGAAGAACTAAACAAGTACTTGTTATTTCCTAGGAAGATTTGGCTGGTGGGGGTGAGCATAAAGGCAGGGTATGCAGAAAGCAAGTGGAGAGCTAGAAATTTTGAGTTAGCTTTTAGCAATCCTGAAGTAAAAGTTACACCTTGACTGCCCATTTCCAAAGGAGGGCCCTGCTGATTCTGTTATAGGAGGGACTACAAGGATCAATTGGCTAATAAGCAGAAAAGTCCTGCTCAACATTTTCAAGATAAAATACCTTATAGAGAGAGAGGCACAGTTGCCTACTGGTTGAAGAGGTGGCTGTTGACTTGCTGTATGGCACCATATTGTATCTCAGTGCATAGTTTCAGCTTATGGGATGAGCCAAATTAACAGGAAAAAAAGTAGAGTTTTATTCTCCCCCATTCCTCAGTCCCAGCCATGCACTCCTGTTGCTTACCATGGGCCGATCCTGGTGGTCCTGTGGTTGCCTGTGAAGTCAACTCTGTTGCTTGTTATAATAGTGGAAACTCAATGCACAAATAAAGATTTTGTTACAGAGTTGAATTACTTTCCCATGTGATGGGAGAACAGTGGAAGGGAAAAATACCTATTTTTTCTGGGTGAAAACTGTTCCATTTATCTCCGTCAGAACATAAAGACACAGCCTCTGCTTCCCCAGCAGTTTGGTCAGATATAGTTTTAAAATTATTCCCTACAGTAAACTGACAAACAGTGTTATTAGATAGGGCTTCTGTGGTTGAAACTTGCAATATATCTCAGTTTCAGTGCTGGTACAACAATGGGCATCTGCCTACTGACTAGATAACAACTGCAACCAAAAATATCGAAGTCTGAAAGAGCTGTTTTGAACATCTGGCTACCAGCCCATCATCAAGTGTAGCATCTATAGTCTCCCTTTTCCAAAATGCTGAAATAGGCATGGGAGGGAGATAGAGAGGAGAGGATAATGCATTTGGTTGATCATTACTATGGGAGCTGGGATACATATAGCTTACTCTTTTTTGCTTTTTCTGCTTTAAAAGCTGCATAAGGACATGTGTTTTCCCCACAGACACATGCTAATTATTTAAGGCCCCATGTTCCCCCCAGAGTTTAGGCAAAGCAGGGAGCTCATTGCTGGCAAACCATGTGTCTGGTGAACCTGGAGGAATTGAGCAGAAGTGGTAACGGATGGGGGAGGAATAAACAGTGAGATTGATTTGATCTCTGAAAGTTCTAACCCCAAAGCAATGTCAGAATTCAACAAAAAAGAAGACAGTTCCAGCAGGCTGAAGCTGTAGGGATCCTCCAGAATCATGTCCTTCTCTGAGTTCAGTGGCAGCTGGAATGGCCAGGCAGCTAACAGGAGCCAGAAACCATTGTCTTGATGAAAAAGTGTAAGAAAACCCTGTAAACCCAATTCTGTGTTGTCTCGTAGCTGTTTACCGTTCCACGTGGGCACAAAATGACTGCACATGCAGGAGAGGTGGATGATGCCTTCTGCGTGTGCGCCTTGACAGCTCCTTGCTGCTTCCCTTTGCAGCAGTCAGACTGTCACAGTCCAGACTGTTACTGCGCATTCCCCGCCCCATCCCCTCAATCTCCTCTCTCTCAATGGTCTCCTCAGTTTTCCTACTTCATCCGTTTCACTTAGGAAATGACTGTCACTGCCCAGCGTAACAGGAACTCATGCCTTTTTTCTTTTCCCTCTGATGGCATTGCCAAAAGTACAAGAAGAAAAATCTACCTATATGCAGCTCTTGCCACCATACTCAGGGGATGATGGCACCAACCATAGTACCATAGTTCTCTGGTTACTCATCCCAGGAAAGAGGTGGGAAGTGGGGACAGCCAGAACACCACTTCTGGTCATGCTAGCCCAAGCCACAGCCATATTAGGAAAAGCACAGCACCAAAGCTAAAGAGCCTGACTCTTGACAGGAAAAAGTAATTTAAGTTCACTCTTTTGTGCTGAAGAAGTAGTACTTCTACTTGTGAGGTTATCCAAATAGGCCCCAGCTTGAAGCCTCACCTCCTCTCCTGATTTTGGCTGTGTGCTGCTGTCCCCATCCAACCCTGCAGAGGAAATGTAGGGGAATGGTGCAGCGTGACTGGGCTACCCAACACAGAGAATTAATCTGTTATTTAAAAATCAGCTTCTGAAGGATTAATCAATAAACACCACATATAACCCCAAAGGGCTAATTAAAAGGTAATTCCAACAAATGGTATGAAATTTCAGACTGTAAAGTTCAAGCAGCTGTTAGGCTAAATCTTTTGTATGAGGTCACTTTGAACTATGCAGTAAATGCAAACAATTAACCTTTGCTTCTGATGCTTTAAAAAAATGATGGTGACAATGTTATGGAGCTGCACGTGTAGCTGCTTGTGCAGGGTGAAAGCTTGGTGAACAAACCCCTTCTTTCCACTGGCACCTCTGCATGCTCTGACCAGTTAAGGGGTACTTTTAATAGTTTGTTATAATCCACTTTAAAAAAGAAAGTTACTGTTTAAAAGTACTTGCTTTTTCAGTTCTGTATGGAGAAGTAATTGTTTAAAGGAGCTAATATTCTGGTGTCAAAATCCCACTAGATTGCATTCATCAGTTCCTTCACTTTTGCTAATGTCTTGTACTGCAAAAAGGTGTGCATTTATTTAACCCCTTATCCTTTGATAAAGCACCCATTATCCTTGGAGCTAATTAGATTATTTGCATACATAATGTATGCAAACGCATGAGTTATGAGTGTAAGTAGTTCTGTTCAGAATCATGACCACATTCAGTGAGCTCAGACAAAATAATTTTTACTTAGAAATACTTTTGAAGTAGGCAGGTCTAGCATACTAGGGAGAAGAGAGAGCACAAAGTCCTCTTCCAGCCTGGTTCAGCTATCATCCTATTCACTATATGACCATAAGAAAGTTAAGAAGTTCATAATGTTGATGCCTTTTAAGTGTGATTCATTTTTTAGGAGTTCTGGGCTTCCTTACATGCTATAAAACCATATATGAGCAGTGTGGAAGTTTGGCAACGGAGACCTGAAAACTAGGTAATTTTTGAATGCACCCAGGCACTGGGAATTGCATAGAGAAATGCTGGTTTGAATCAGTACTGCCCACCTAAGAAACAAGAATCAGGGTATTGAAACCTTACTTACCTTTCTGCCTTATAGGGCCACTGAAAACTGAACAGTTTCTATTTGTGTAGCACATTGAAAATGTGGACCACTTCATAAACCCTCATAATTATCACTTTATATTCAGTTTGAAAACCAAGTTTAAACACACACAAATGAAGTGCCAGTGGATATTTCCCTATTTTGTTCATGTGATAGCCAGAAAAGTCTTAACCTAAAACAAATCTTGGGGAAGAGGAAAGAAGGCTGCACTTCAGTGAAGTCCGTTAACTTTATAACACTTCCCTGAAAAATATAGAATTCTGGCAGAATTAGAGGGGGAAGTCATATTACAAAGTAAGAATAAACCTTTTAGGCATTTAATTTTAATCGCACCTTCCTTCAAAGGAAATTACTTTTGCTAAATGTTCATAGCTATTTTCTATTAGCATAGATAAATAGTTGCCGAGTTGCTTCAGTCTAATTTCCAGCATACCTAAAGAAACGCAGTCAAGTTCCTCAGACATGTATTCAGCTCCAAGTAGCTCCAAACATTGATGATTTAGACAGGAAGGGAGCTGTGGAAATGATTTCCTGACCAAAACTATTCTTTTGCCTGACATGCTCTAGCACTGGATGCTCTTAGCTAAAAAAACCCCAACAAAACAGCAGAAGCTGTGTGACTGAGTCAGAGGGCTTTTCCAGCTGGCTCACATGTAATGCAGTTTGCTTGGTGTTGGTTTGGGTTTTGGTTTCTCTTTTCTTCTCCCTGCCCATTTCCTTCCTCCGCCCCCACCAAGAAAAGTCAAAGTTCACGCACATGAGCTCACAATATATGTTGGATTTTTTCAAATTTAACATTGGTATCCCTACATGACACTGTATAGAGACCATATGATGCACCTTCAACACTAATCAAATGTAAAATTGCTTTTGTGCTGAAAAATACACCTCTTAAGTGGTGTCAGCTCAGTTGTAATTCATTATATGTTGGCTGTCAGGCATTGCCAGAATTCTAGATATTTTGCTTCAGGAAATACATTCCTCCTGGCTCTATGTAGTTTTTCAATCTCTAGCAGTCAGAAATTTCAGCTTGGTCATTATTCCTGGTATAATTTTAAACAAAGGACTTCTACAATCATCCCACCCTCAAAAGAAAATTAATCAATGTTAATTCATTCCACTCTTAAACTTACATCAGTTTTGGACTTGAACCATTTCTGTTTTGAAATTAAAATTTGCTTTATGGGAAAAGTGGACTATATTGGTACTTTGGGAACCAACTTATCACCCCGATCTGGGAAAAGTTCGATGAGAAAAGGTATTTAATGGGAGGAGAGAAGTTAACCACTGCTTGCTCTCACATGCATATGATAACATTAAGTTTTAATTGATTAGTTGAGTGTAAGTACTACAGAATGGGTGAATTGCCTTTGCCTAGTGGCACTATCATGTAATGCTGTAGCAGTTTTCAAAACTGCAGCTAAAACCCAGCCAGCTAGGAATGAGAAAAGTGTTCCTCCTCCTTCTTCCACCTTGTTTTTAGTTCTCTGAAGAAGAAATACTTTCTTAAGATCACTTAAATTTTGGAGGCCTAATTATTCTACCTATATCTCGTAATGCATCCAGTCAGAGAACAGAATGTATCAGCTGAGTGGTATTTTCAAACAAACTTACGTAATGTTAATATCCACTCTATCACCACCACTATTCTTACAAAAAAGCTCCAGGCTATAAAAAACTTGACAGGAATTGGTGTGTTGACTAGAGAATACATGTTGGAAAATTGCAACCTCTTTAGATCAAGTGTTTCCAAGCATTCGGGAACTAGAATAACTTTTAGTTAAACCCACAAAAATAAGCCAACTAGAGCTGGTTGCCCAAGGCTGTGTGCAGTTGGGTTTTGAATATCTTCAAGGATATAGACTACTCACCTTCTCTGGGCAGCCCATTCCAGTATTCAATCACCCCTGCAGTAAAAAAGGTTTTTCTTACATTTAAATGGAATTTCCCGAATTTCAGTTTGTGCTCATTATCTCTTATTTTGCCCCTGGAGGTCACTGAGAAGAGTCTGGCTTCAGCTTCTTTATCCCACTGGCAATTGGGCACATATTAAGATGCCATGTCTGGTCTCTTCCAGGCTGAACAGTCCCAGCTCTCTCAGCCCTTCCTCATATGTCAGATGCTTCAAATCTTTAATCATCTCTGTGGCCCATCATTGGATTCTCTCCAGTATGTCTCTGTCTCTCTTGTACTCAGAAGCCCAGTGCTGGATCCAGCACTTCAGGTGTGTTTCACCAGAGCTGAGCAGAGGAGAAGCATCACCTGCTGGAGATGCTCTGTTGAGTGAAGCCCAGGAAGCTTTGCACAGGGGCTCATCACTGGCTCATGGTCCACTTGATGTCCACCAGGACACCAGGGCCTTTCTAACAGGTTGGCCCAACCTATCCTGGTGCATGGATTTGTTCCTCCCTAGGGGCGGGACTTGGCATTTCCATATTCTGAACTTTATGAAGCTCCCCTCAGCCCATTTCCCCAGCCTGTTGAGATCCCTTTGGATAGCAACACAACCCTCTGGTGTAACAGCCACTCCTCCCAGCTTTGTATTACCTGTAAACTTGCTGAACACATGCTCTATGGCAGTGTCCAAGTTGTTAAGGAAGGTGTTGGAACAGTATCAGCCCCTTGGGGTAGCATTTACTCTCATTGCTATGGAGGTGATGGAAAACAACAGACTTAGCCCCATAGCTGATTTCTACAGAAACCTGTCACAGACATTGCTGCTGGCCAACGTATATGTGACAATAAACATACACTCACATTTCTTTTGTTGTTTAATTTTCTTAATGGGTAGCTTTATGTGGATAGGCTGAAGGATTCTGCCAGGCTGCAGGTCCCTGTTTCCCTGTAAAATTCTTGCTTCAGTAACCTCCAGCACCCAGCATGGCAATAAGAGTCTTTTAATGCAGATGGATTCAGTAGCATTTCTACTGGTCCTGCACAGTAATCACTTGCCTTTTGAATTTTGGTAAAACCATTACTGCAAGTATGGGAGCAGGAAAAGACCAACTCCTTTTGGAGGTGGGGAGGAGAGGGAGCCAGCATGCTGCTGCTTGCTCACCAGCAGGGTAAAAGGGAAATGAACACAAAGGAAATGCAGGCAGAAAATATTTTTTTGCTGCTTCAAGATGGTCCCTACACAAGCGCTGCTACTGACAGTGCTCACTTCGATCCCTCTAAGCTTGTGTGGAATTAATTAGGTAAAACCCCTAGCATTTACCTTGGGCTGTGGTATCACCTGGAGGACACTTGGCATGAATTAGTGCTGGATTATCATAGGAGTTTGAGCTGCAAAATGATCTGTCTAGTGAGAGACTGCCAAGTAATTCACAGGAGGTGGCAAACAAAGTGGCATTTTTTGTAATTTTAATTAGGTTTTGGAGGAAAAGAGGTTAGCCTGAATAGAGCAAGAGGCAGGATGATGACCTTATTGAATGTCTCATGGACTTCCTTTTACACAGCTGGGGTATGGGGACATGCTCTGCAAATTTGCTCAGATGATTCCTCACTACTTAGAGAATTTAAAACGGGAGGAGTTTTTTTTTTTAGTAAGATGATAGGAGAGAAAGTTGCAGTGGAAAAAGGCTTGGATCAGGCATCAGAGTTGCTGTCACCTGAGTAGGGATGGATGCACTGCGTGGAGAGGCTGGAAAAATGCCACCAGATGTCTCTGTAGCCTAAAAAAAGGCTACAGCAGCACCGCCATGGACTGCCTTGCCTGCTTTGCTCTTCAGTAAGGGGCAGATTTAATGGAGGAGAGGCATGCAAACCCCGAATTAAACCCACGCTTATGAACCGTTCCTCCACCTTCCCAAATAAAGAGGTTTGACACCCTCCAGACTGCGCTGGTTTCCACACAGGTGATCAGATTACAAAGTAACATTTTCTGCTATTTTGGGGAAAGGCATGTTAGTGCAGCTTTACCCACGCTGCTTTGCCTTACATGGAGCGGGTCTGTGTAAGGCAAAGTTCTGACTTGCAAGCATCTCCAAGGTCACCATCATTATACTTGTGACAGCAATTGAACACCTCCACCTTTGGAGGAAATAACCCTATCCCTCAGTGTCCCCCATAAAATTAGGAAATCATTTACCAAAATTCTCACTGGGAATAAGCACATGGTCAGCCATAGGATGCATGGGCTTAATTGACTTCTCCCTTATACTAGCAGTGTTGATTGCAATTGCATACAGAAAGATCAAAGTGTTTTCTCATTCCCAGGTCTCAGCCACAAGAGTCAGAGCACCATTTACCAACCAAGCCAGCAATTATTATGCTACCAGTGAATTAGAAAAAAATCAACCCAAACAAGGAAACAAATGAAAACGAGTTTTCTATGTATAGCTTGGACATCCTACCTGTAGTTTAGGGAAAACCAAAGGGCAGCCAGGCTGGTTCTCTTTAATGCCCTGTAGGAGTTTTAAATTTCACTGAGAAAGGGGGTGGTAAGGGAAGGGAGAATGGCAAAAATTAGATCTGAGGGAGGTCAACTCTATTCACTTAACTGCTATTGACCCACTTGTAACCAGAGCTGAGCCCAGCCTGGGTACTGGAATTCCTCCTGCCACATCTCTGGCTCATTGCAGGGCCTGAATATATCTAAACCATTGAGCACAGTGAAGTCACTACAGCCTGAAAACCACCTTAGAGGCTCTTTGTTTTATAGCTGCTTGATGATGAGTGTAATAAGGAGAAGCTGGGGCAAATTTACTGGGGAATTAAGAGGAAGAAGGTACTTCCTTCCCTCTTGTTGGGTGAAACGTGGAAAGCCCCAGGAAATTACTGCTCTGTGTTTCAGTTAATACATTAAAAAAACCCAAACCTTTCTGAGAAAAGATCTTTACAATTATGAAAATCTTGTCCTTTAGTCTGATTTCCCAGTTCCTGAAAAGCTCCCCAACTTGCAGCTTGTTTTACACTATGTTAGGTCTGCATAAGTAGTGAAGTATAATGGACCATCAGGCCTGTATTTCTCTGTGGACTCCAAATACGCTTTCCTCATGCAAATACATGACAGGGAAACCAGATACTCCTAGCCTCAGTATGAGAAAATTGTGTTAATGTTAATAGCTTACAGTGTAATTTATACCCTCGGTTCAGTAGCTATACCAATAGAAAGTAAGTACTAACATGCAACCTAAAAATGTGTCTATTAAAATAAAACAATAATAATAAAAAAGCCTTGGCTTACGTTAGTTATAGGTTTGGCTAAAAAGCTGAGCCTTGGACTGTATGAGCTTGCTCTGGCTCTGCTAGTCCACAGAAAGACTGAATTCATTACTTGGGAAACCTTCATGGAGGGCACACTGCCTCAAATCCCAGGGAACAACGTCAACGAATAAGAATGGACATGGCTTAATTCAAACCCTTCTCCCATCTTTCAAATCAAGTTAGTGATTTCTCTCTTCTTTGTGGTTCCCAGTCAATTGTCATTTTCAGCGCATCCTATCACCCTGCAGTACAAACTGTTCTGGGAATACACTTCATTCCTCCAGCAGCCTCTCAGCAATGCCAAGGAATGTAGCTCTTCTGGTTATAATTAAGAAATTCAACATACAAATGCTCCCAAAGTGCACCAGAACCTGCTTGTGACCTTCACGCAACCAAATCTCAAGGAGTTGAAGCAATTTTTTGTTCATTGGTTCCAATAAAGCATGGAGGGGAGGGGAAGGGGGAAAACCTCCATTTCCCCAGAGAGGCACTGTGGTTTCAGGGGTCAGCTATACAGAAACTGGCACAGGGAAGCGCAGTTTCCAGGGCTGCATTCCCACAAGGAACCCAGGGCTGTGGGGTCGCTGGGTGGATGCCAGCCTGTGCTGGCAGAGCTGCTGCACTGCCGCATGCCTGCTGGGTAGTCAGGTTTAGTTCCCACCACCACATGGCAGAAAGTGTGCTGGCAGGGCAAGTGCAGGTATTGTTGGAGTTTACCTGCCTGCTGCCATACTTTCCTGGGGAAACTCTTGTCCCCCAGAGCCAGCGCTAAGCAGCTAGGAAGGGCTGCCTTTTGGTGCCTCAGCTCTGTCCCCATGGACTCTCTGGGGGCCTCTGCATAGACACTTTGAGAGGAAACTCTTCCCCTTCCTTTCATCATGTTATGTCTGTACCAGGATTGTGTCCAGGTGAGACAGATAAAGAAGCTGTAACAGAATAGCTCTATAGTATCTGCCTATAAATGTAGTGTCTAAGCAAACAAGCAAATATATTTTGATTGTAAGCATGAACCTACTGATGCTTTTGAGGTTCCTCCTCTCCCCCACCTCTCCTCAGCCTCTGCATTTTAAGCCATAAGGTGGCTTTAAAATTCCCTTTCCCCTAAACTCAGGATGATACTGTTGCCCAAGAGGAGAAATATATTTGTGTTTTCCAGATGGCTGGAGAAGGTGAAGAAATAGCATGGAAAGTCCTTGATGTGGAATCTCAATATCCAAAAGAACTTGGAAGGTCCCTGGGGCTCTCCAATGACACCTTTTCACTGAGGATCAAAAATGTGACCAGCCAAAACAGCGGGACATATAAGTGCACTTTGAGGGAGCAGAGAGGAGAAAACATTCTCAGCAGCACAGTCACATTAAAAGTAACAGGTACAGTAGAGACTTTTGATTGTCCCATGCTGTGTGTGGCATTTCATGAAGGTAACAGTTAAAAATATTTTATAAACTCCAGAACAATGTAACACTTTGCTTTACATTTTAGGTTGTGCTGGAATAGAAGATGAAAAATTAAAAAAACACAAAGCTGAGCTTTTCATGCTGACTTGCCTTGGGATTTTTTACTTGATGCTCATCTTTTTCACCTGTGTAAGTAATTACCTTTCTTATAAACAATCCAACTAAAAACAGCAAATAAAACCACCATTCATTTTCTCTGCTAACACTGCCTTAGCCAGTCAGAAGTTAGTGTTCATCACTTAAGTTGCGATCAACCCCTTTAAATACTCACACAGTGTTTTCAAAGCCAGAGGAAACTCAGGTGTACAAGTAACACAGCATGGAGTCCCTAAGAGATAACTGCACCCTGATATAACTCAAACCAGACAGTTATTTTCCTACACCCCACTGCACATTTCTGCCTCCAGTTCCTCCGAATGCAGGCTACTCTTCAGTTTAAGGGCACATCAGCAGCTCTTCTGGTTTGGTACTTGGGAACAACATTTGCCTGAGATGGAGGCACAGGCCCCTGGGATCCCTTCCCTACCTACAGCATGTGCTGGCATGGTGGAAAAGTTCAAGTCCACCTACTTTTTGCCTCAGTTTCCATACCCGTAAATTGGTGATAACCTATTTTTGGATGGGAATTTTTGTGAAGATACATCTTCCTTGTTAAACAGACATTTTAAAATTCCTGGAAAAGAACATCTTGGGGTTTTATCCAGGCCCTTAATGTTGGCTGGTAGCTTTGGGAAAGGTGGGGAGCAAAGGTATTCTGGCAGCTAACTTCACAGAAGCAAAACTATGCTTTGTCTGCAGCAGGGGTGAAGTTGCTCCCTTGTGCAGAGGTCTGCACCTCCTGGCTTGAGGCAGCATGAACCTTGGATGTCAATACAATGCAACACCAGCTGCATTTCAAACTAAAACCAAAACAAAACCAGCATTCTGGGAAGTCAGATTTAATTTTTGCTGCCTATTTCATATTTGCCATCTTGTATTGCTCCTCAGCAGATGAATCATAACTGTTGATTGGAGAATATCTAATTAGCTGCAGCTAAATGTAGCTTTTCACGTATCTTCAGGGAGCAATTAAATTTATGCCTGTCTCTTTTTTAGATTGACAATCCTCCCAGTAATCTGTGCTATTCAGACTAAAGTTTGACAAGATAAATCTTGTAGGAATTTGTTAGGATGAAAGTATGAAAGCAAGGATATCACTCAGAAGAGACAGATGCCCCTGTTCTGCTGTGTCCTGAAAGAATTTCAGATCTCTACAGAAATGTCTCCTTCCCATACATAAAAAAAGTTCCAATTTTAGTGGAGTAGTCAAAAAAAAAAGCAGAGTTGTGAACTTAAGTCAACCATTCTGGTGGAATTACGTGTATCTTACACTTGGGTGAGGTCCAGTCTCAGATATCAACCTAGCTTTCAAAAATTTAATATTGCCCTTTTCTCACAAGTGAGCTTCATTATTTAAAATGCCTGTCAAATTCTTACAGGTTGCCTTATTCTCTCCTTTAGTGGAGATTTTGCTTTACCTCCACTAAACTCAACAGCGACTTTAAGACTGCCTGGCAGGATGGGGGCTTTACTTTGACAGCCTGATGAAAGTATTTCAGGCACTGGCCTATATTGAAGGCAGGTGGAAATACTTTCAAGAGCCTGATGCAAGGGCTGTTCATATGAAACTTGAATTAAATATAAATTTCATTTTGTGACTAACCTTTTTGTCTTATAAACCTCCTTAACTGAGCAAGAAGCAGCAGTTTTTCTTTGTACTGGGTGCTTCTGGTAGAAAAAAAAAATTGAAAAGGTGTAGTGAGCTATGGTTAGCAAGGAGAAAAAGCAAAACTTTCAACCTTTTTTTATAAAAAAGGCCTTTCACCATAATTCTCCGTCTTAAGCTTTCCTTTCTGTTTTCTCTTTCAGATGTGTCTAAGAAAAGAGAGCCTATCTTCCAGTAGTCAAAAACCCAGACCAGATATGCAGCACATGCTCACCCTCATCAATGTGCATGAAATGACAACTTTCCAGGCTTTAAACAGCAACAGCACTTGCAAAAATGAGCTTGCTTCAGGTTCTGTCTAAGTTGATGCGGACAGGACCGTGGGCTCATCAGTAAACACAACATAAGCTGGGTGGCTGAGTAGTATGAAGAGGAAATAAATGATAATATACAGCCTCTTCAGAACAGCCTGAAGGTATCAGAAACCTGTCAGTGACTCTGCTTGTGCTGGACAAGCCTTCAACAATGTTATGCACTACAGTAACTTTGGGGAGTTAGGTGGCTAAGAAATACCATTAGAGCTACACAATGCTGTTATAACGCTGTTACGAAGTTGGTACCAACTTTATTTCACTCTGCTGTGCAGCTCTTTTGCTGTGAGCAAGAACAGACCTGTGACATGAAGACTAAGTTGTAGGGAAGCCATGGTAGTACAAAGCTGGCAGATTAAGCTCTCCACTGAACTAATAGCTCACATCTTTCAGAAGTAAACAGAAGAGGTGCTGCAGTATGAAAAGATAAGTGTGCAGGGCTTTTTATTCTCTGAGCCTGATTCTGGATGTAGTACCTTTACTGCAAATGGGATGTAACTTGTCATGTGATGTTCAAGTAAGCTGAAGAGGTTACTTCATGATCTTGTCCTGGGTGGATCAAATGAACATTCACTTTAGAATCTGAGTGACAGGCTGAAATGTAAGAAGGGGGAAAATACTCTGGAAATCTTTCTGGACTGAGAGAAACTTTCTATTTATCTCTGCAAGAGAAACAGGGACACAGTTCCCAGAGGCATCTCTAGATAGGTCAAACCATAGGAAGCTTCAACAAGACTGCTGAAATTGTTGAAAGACCTTGAAACAACAAAGAGAAGAGTGAAGAAGCCTATGATGTTAAGGAAATGTAAAGATGACTCATTTTGTGGTTCGTAAACACGAAGCCAAATGTATGTGACACCTATGTCAGTCAAGTTACACAAGTGATGACCATAGCCATGGCTTGGAAGAAATAAATCATCCATATCTTTAGGTTGTATTAAGTCAGTCATGGAATACAGGATTTGAAGATGGGACATATAAACACTTACTTTTGGTGCTGACAATGTGTATGTATGAGAAATGAGGACATGAGAAAAGCTGAACTCAAGAAGACAATACAAGGCTTGTTCTCTTTGACCAAAGAAAGCAAGAGGAACTCTGGAGTCTGAAATCAAGGCGCCTCCCTTATCAGGCTGTTGGTGCAGAAGGTGAAGCAAGGAGTCTGGAGTGACTGCGACTGATTATGCCACATCAGAATTTGAGCCAAAACATGAGAATTTGCAAGCACTTAAGAACATAATAAATAAATAAAAAAAAAAAATAAAGCCTTCAAGAGCTAAACTGCAGCTTTAGGATTTTTAATACAGTTTGGAATTCCAGATTGTTGACAAGGAGGCTCTTTGTGTAATTCTTTGACTAGTTTTGAGAAGCTGATGGGAAAAAAAGCACTGTGGATCACTCAGTATTACCTCTGTGAGCAGGCCTTAAGGGGGCTCCTGACCAGAAGATTGCTTACAAGGGATATGCAATTAAAGCATGGTAAATGAATGCCACGTTTGCTTTTATATAATCCACTTTTACATATAAATATGTATAACATACTTAAAAATTCAGAAGTAACCTAGCATTTGTTTTTGTGCACCACATATGGCAAATAAACACAGAAATATTCTGTATCAATTGCATTTTATTTTACAACAAATATAATAACATCAAATAATGTAGATGCCTGATCCCACCTCTTCTGCAGGAGAGGGCATGTCTGTGTGTATAATTGACTAAGCAATGGAAAAGGTTATGCATTTCTAAGGACCTAAGATAATTTAAATTTTCCTCAAAATTTCACTTTCTGTCCAAAGTACATTCTAAACCACGTGTTTCCTCCTGACTGGCAAGTCTACCCATGGTCACTTTTAAACATGGTGCACCAGGGTGGATAATGTGTATGTTTAGGTAGCAATAATACAAAATGAATGTACATGTGTAATAGCTGACCTAGGTAGGGTAATCGGGTCTCTCTGGTCAGAAAGGCTTAATACTTGAGAGTCATAAGGTTTTTTGTTTATTTTTAAATTTATTTATTTTTTTTTTTAGGAGAGCAGACAAGAGTAAGGAAGGGAAAAGTCACTTGAAAGGAGTTAATAATTAACCAGTAGCAAAGGCTGAATCACTTTTAAAATTATTTCTTCAGAAATATAAATAGGATCAAATCAGATAGGACAGAATGGGAAAAGAGACTTTCTGTCCATTATTCTTTCCCTGAGCCAAACTGTTTGCAATATAGAAGATTGGGCCTGAGGCAACAGCACTGTAAGTCAAATTTCAGTGTCAGAAGTTTCAGGCTTGTTGATTGTGGGGATTTGGTGTAGGCCCAGCTGTGCAGTAGAAGCGATCATGTTCAAGGCCACTTAAATGTGTTAAATTGTTTAGAAGAAGTAAGCAGTGAGAAAGTCTTATGCCAAGATGCTTGACTGAATCACAGAACTGGAGAGAAAGAGACAATGTCCTAAAGTAATGGAGCTGCCTGTGCAGCCTCTAAAAGATATAAAGGATATAAAGAAAGCATATAAAGATATTTGGCATTGTAGGACAAAAACTAACACTAGCTAGCAATATTATGAATGAGAACCAGACGAGTGATGCATCAACAGGAAAAAAAAATCATCTTGGCTGAAAATCTTGCAGAATGAGGCACACGTGTTTTTCAGCATGGTATGCCAAAAGAGATGATCCTTTTCTTGCAATATGGACCTGTGGATCTAAGTAGCCTATTTCAAAATTATTGCCCCAGTTAGTGGGCATAGAGGGGGTGAGCACATGTGCACATTCTTTAGACTTTAACACCTCATTATGGAAGGGAATGTGTTTGTGAATTGCACAATATAAAGGCTGTTTTGATTATACAGAATAATTGCTTGTTGGACAGGAAAAGTTTTTTCCAACACTGATTATTTATGCTTCAGTTTTGTAAAATAACATGATAACACAAATGTATACTAAAACTGCTCTTTGTAATACTTTTTTACAATATATTTTAGAATCAGGAATTCAGTTAATACCAGTAAATCTATGAGGTGGAAATACCATAATCTTTGTTTTATAAATAAAAGCTGGACACCTGGAAATCAGAAAACTCATGAAGAAGTCTGGATCAGAATCAGGAAGAGACCTGAGGTTTTCTAACTTGTGTGTGGGTGCCTTAAGCACAGGAGCCTCCTTGTTAATATTTCTTGTGGGGTTTGTAACTTTTTAACAGATTCCCTCCCACCCCCAACCCCTCATAATCTGCATTTTCCTACTGTTTAGTACAAAGGTGGACCATCTATGTTCAAAGATAATAATAAGCATTACATATAAAATTACTCATACAGAACAAGTTTGTATGCCTGTGATTAAGGAATATACAGAGAAACACTGAATCACATAGAGAAATTACCCCCAAAAGAAATTGCAACAATCATACACTGGAGCTAAATGAATATCCAAAATGTCAGTGAGGGAAAGCTAAAGGACATAATCCACAAAATGCTGAGTGTATGAATTATAACCCTTAGCTAAGACTGATTTGTGCAGCTAGCCCTTACACAGCAGATAACCCAGGCTGACAGTGACCTTGACAGCATTGCAACAGTAATATTTTCAGCAAAGGCTGAACAGTTTTCAACCTATTTCTCCTGAGCAGGAGATACAAGCACTCTTGTATTCAACAATGTGGACCAAGGTAATCCTCAGTATGTGCCTGTGAATGATGCAAACAGAATATAGCTTTTGGGCATGCCAAATGCCTTCCTTCCCACTTTCTTCTGCCCTTGATAAGATCATTTTGGAGGGCATAAAGTGTGTTAATCCTGGTACACATGTTCCCTTCCTTCTCCCTCTAAGCGATGCAGTGCAGAGGGGATCTGGTTCCAAGTCCATTGAGCAACTGCAAGTGCTTAGTGACCTTCTCAACCAATACATCTGCCCCTTGGGAGCAGCAATTGATTTTCCTCATCTCTGTACGTGGAGACAACGCTTCTACAGTATGTTACAGCTACACAGTTGGGTAAATTGTGTATTTTCCCCTGTATTTTCCCCACAGCTCCTTTTAAAGTACAGATCAGTAAAACCCTAATTCTTAGTCGTTTGTGGAACAAACTGATGGACTGTTCTTGTCCCATTTTGCTGCCAAGCCCTGTGCTTGCAATGCTCTGCTTTTCGCTGACTACAGCCGATCTTAGCTTTTGTGTAAAACTGTGAGAAGAGTGCTCTTGACTCTCTGAAGCAGTGATGTAAATCCTAAAAAATCCACCCAGGGAATGGGTGGTGGCAAGAGTGACACAGGTCACTGCAAGGATTGGTAGGTCCTTTGAAGGCTTAATCTTACACCCAAGCCCCGTGAGTCCTCCACCCTTTGATGGAAAAGCTTGCTGCATTCCTGTGGCTGAGTTACAAGTGCATTTGTTACCCTGGAAATGGACAGCGTGGGCTGATTTTAAGAGTTCGCACTGTTATGAGACAGATGTCACAGCCAGTGTAAAAAAACATACAGAACCCACACAAACCAACCCCATGGACAGACTGGAGATAAGGAGCAACAACGAAGGAACAGGTCCTATGAGAAACATGGCTTGTACAAGCCCAGTGCAAATATAGGCTTTGCTCTTTGCAGAGTCTTTCAGTTGCTTCTGTGACGGGAATAAGAAGAGCCTGTAATAGTTGGTTTGGGGTTTTTTTGTTTGTTTTAAAAGACATTTGTTCTGTGTGCCTCAGTTTCCCTACCTATGAATGGCAGTGAATTAGTTCAGGTGTTGTCTTGCATGAGAGATGGGGAACCTGCCAATGTTTAAAACTTACTGCCTCCTAGGAGGGAACTTTTAACCCACGTTTTCTTTCACAGGAGAGAACAGGAGGCTTGAATTGCTGGACATCAGTGTTAAGGGGCAAGAGAAACTGGATCAACAAGAATTGGTAAGAAGGAAAATACAGGAGTCTCTGCAAATGGTGGGGTCTAGACCAAGCACCTGTAACACAAACGTCTGACAATTTCCACCCACTCCCTTTTGCTATTTTCATCCCATCTGAATTCCAGCTCTGCCAATTCATTCTCACATCTGTTCTCAGACTTGGTATCAATACTGATTTAACCACATTCCTTCCATCTTCTGAGCTGGAAGTGTACAAGCCAGAAGAAATTAACCTCTTCCCTTCATTAGTGCCAGCTAGCACATTGCATTCTTGTGATACAGCTGCTGGAATTTAGGTGGGCAGCAGACCCAATGGGGATCCATCAGCTCCTCTAATGGGGAGCGTGCTGTGCATATTTTTGCTGAAATAAACTTGCAATTGCATACTGAGCACTAGAGGTCCGGAAGGCCAGCAGCATCTCAGGCTCTGTGAACTGGAGTGTAGCCAGCACATCAAGCATATTTCCCTACTCAGCTCAGCATTCCCTAGACCACACCTAGATATGTTGTCCAGTTATGGGCCCCCAGAACTGACCCAAAGGCAGTCAGGTCTGGAATGCTAGTCCTGTGAGGAGAGGTTGAGGGACTGGGGCTTGTTTGGCCTGGAGAAGTGATAGGCTTGGGGAGACCTAAAGCAGTCTCCTCAGTAACTATGAGGAAGTTATCAAGAAGACAGAGCCAAGATCATTACAGTGATACATGGTGGGAAGATGAAAGGCGCTGAGCATAACTTGAAACAAGAGTAACTGAGACAGGAATATTGTTTCCCTGTGAGGACAGCTAATGCGTGGAATAGGATGTTCACAGAGGCCGTGGAGTTTCCATCCTTGAAGGCTTCCAAGTCCTAACCAAACAAAACCCTAAGCAAGTTACTCCGATCCCGTAGCTCACCCTGCTTTGAGCAGGATGTTGGATTAGTGACCTCCAGAGGTCCCTTCGCACCTTAACTATCCTATGATTCTACACTACTCATGGTCAGAGAAAATTTTTTTATTGCTGCTATTCAAGATGTTGATCACAATATGAATGGACCACTCCAAGGTATCTGTCCTCTGCCAGTAATGACCACAGATATGTCATACAGAACTGGTAGACTACAGTATGAAACGTCTAAAAAAATTATGAAAATGGTAAAAAAACCCCCAAACTATAGACAATCTGGGCCTCAAAAACAGGTAACTAACCCTTGTCCATTGGTAAAAGACTAATAAAAATGCAGGTAAAAAATGTAGTAGTTTTTACAACAAACTTAATATTTTAAACTTTACCTCTTTACTCAAGGACAAATGCACAAGGATAGAATGGGGCACTGTCAGATACCTTTATCTGTCTTTTGGCTTTTCTCATTATGAAATACTTCTGCTAGTGCCCCTTGCAGAAATTCATCATCTCCAACACATCCTGCACTTGGATTTTGGAAGTGTTCATAATATGTGACATTTAATAAAGACAGTTCTTGTCAGCATCCCATCCCTGAATCTCAGAACTATATGACAGCAACAGGCAAGTGACTGTACATGCACACACTGACTCACAGAGCCAAACACCCAGTCTCATCATTTTCTGGTCTATGCAGCACTCAGCCACACTGGGATTTATATGTGGATAAAATAAATAAAAAAGATTATAACCTTTGGCACACCGTTGTGAATGAGCCAGTCTCCTGTGTACACGGCATGTATGTTTCTCACACTGGGATGC